TATAATCAGAGAAAATGTCGTTGGCACGATGTTTCGGATTTTCAAATCAGGATGGATAATTTTTGTTTGATTTTTTTAGATGAGGAATTGTCATCATGCATCGACTTGTTCGGTTGAATCTAAATGTAGCTCTCTGAAGATAGATTAATGATTAAACATATCTTCGAGCGAATGAAGCCTGTGGGTCTTGGCAATGACAAATCCTTCTACGAACATCGTAGACTGGCGCTACAGAGTCACAAAGAACTGTATTAAATAACAGAAACCACATCAATTGTGGACTTTCAACAGCTGCTAGGAAATTTGTCCCGGCTTTCCGGCATCAAAGGGTTGAGGTTAAAAATTGGGTTGAGGTTTAAAAATTTGCGACAAAACGCGAGTAAAAACATCAATATTAGAGCGGACAAACTCTCTCTTTTAGGCGCGGACGAATAAAGAAAAAAACTTCTGCTCGGTGAGTAACAACAAAAGAAGAAAGTGTTTATTTACAACATATACAGAAAAAAAGGTAAAGGGATAAAAGGACAATTAGGAGAGAAAGAAAGGGAAAAGAGAAAATGTTCTTAACTTAAAAAGGCTTGCTCAAAATATTTCTCTGAGCGCCTAAAGAGTTCTTTAAGCGGTTAGAATATTGTTAAGGTTCAGATAGAAACACTCACTTTCTTGGGAAATTATTCGCAGATATAGGAATCTTGCAGTTGAGTGAGTTCGTAGGTCGACGACAGAAGTCCAGTGGGCTCGTCAGAAGGAGTGGTGTAGGGATGCAGCTTTCAAATGGTCTTGAATTGTGGGTCGACGTTTGTTCTTTACAGCCCTTTAGTAGGTAGTTCTTTGGTTGAAAGAGGTTCTGAAGTTGACTGCAGCTCACAGAATGTCGACCTCATAGACGGTGGGCTGAATTCTCACTGTCAAATAGGCAAAGATTCTCCAAATTTATGGAGTTTTGGTAGGCTCCGATGGATCGGGGACTTTTCCCTCCAAAATCGTTGTACAAATTTCCTGGCCCCTCTATTGGTCAGAAAACACATTCTTATCTCTGATAAGAATCAGGGCCCTGGGAGCCGATTTCGAAGGTACTGAAAACAGGTTGGAGTGAACAAGCTGTGAGGTTTCCCCCAGACCTTATGGCACCATGGAAAGAATAATGGTGGTGGAATTCCTTTTTATATTTTCCAGCTCTCTCGTTAGTCAGAAAATATATTCTTATCTCTTATAAGAATCAAGGCTTTGGGAGCCGGTTTTGAAAAGAGGTTAGAGTGTGTGGGGTACAGCGTACCCGGATTAAAAGGAGCATTTAATACGGGATACCCTGCCCACAAAATACAACGCAAATTTCAAGAAAAGACAACACGATAAGGAACGTTTGTAGAAAATAGAACATTGTATATTTAATGTCATTCATGCAGAATAAACAAATTTGTATATTTTTATATCTTGTGAATAGAGTAAAAAAGATTAATGCTTTAGTTCGTTTAAGCAAATGTGATTTGAACAAAAAAAATGTCTATGTGTTCGCTTGTCTTTCAACAGAGTAGTAGAGTAATGTCTGTTTCTTTTGTTTTTGTGTATCCGCCGAGTAGGTGGAAAGGAAAAAGGGGCGATCAATTTAAGTTGAAAAAGAGTGTGTGAATGAGAAATAAAAGATAAGAGGAAAATGTACTTATCGGGTTGAATTGTTTTGGAGTCAGTTGTAAATTTGTTGTTGTTGTTGTTTTCCTTTCCTACCCCACTTTCTGCTCTTAGTGTCTTGTTGAGTGAGTGACGGACCTGACTGTCAGTCTTCTGTCCTCTATGATCTCTGCACTCTTCTGACTGGTGATTGACTTGAGTCTCTTTATTTATAGCTGACTTTTTTTTTCACACAGGATCGTTATCTTTTTTTTAGTTTAGCAAATCGCCTCCTTTCATTGGTCAGAAAATTAATTGCGAAATCTGTTTTTAGTCGTTTTGATCCGATTTTACGGGTGTAAAAATCTACTTGTGTTTTTAGTCATTTGTTGAATGATAAATTTGTATCCTATAAGGAGGATAGAAAAAATATGAGAATGTGAACTTGTAAAATATTGTCTTGTAAAATTTGTTGAACTTGAAAAATAAAATGTGAACTTGTAAAATATTGTAAAATGTGAACTTGTAAAATATTGTAAATGTGAACTTGTAAATATTGTAAATTTGTAAAATATTGTAAAATGTAAACTTGTAAAATATTGTAAAATGTAAACTTGTAAAATATTGTAAAATGTGAACTTGTAAAATATTGTAAAATGTGAACTTGTAAAATATTGTAAAATGTGAACTTGTAAAATATTGTAAAATGTAAACTTGTAAAATATTGTAAAATGTGAACTTGTAAAATATTGTAAAATGTGAACTTGTAAAATATTGTAAAATGTAAACTTGTAAAATATTGTAAAATTTGTAAAATATTGTAAAATCCTTGTAAAATATTGTAAAATGTGAACTTGTAAAATATTGTAAAATGTAAACTTGTAAAATATTGTAAAATGTAAACTTGTAAAATATTGTAAAATGTAAACTTGTAAAATATTGTAAAATGTAAACTTGTAAAATATTGTAAAATGTGAACTTGTAAAATATTGTAAAATTGTAAATGTGAACTTGTAAAATATTGTAAAATGTTGTAAAATATTGTAAAATGTGAACTTGTAAAAATATTGTAAATGTGAACTTGTAAAATATTGTAAAATGTTGTAAAAATATTGTAAATGTGAACTTGTAAAATATTGAAATGTTAAAAAATTAAAATATTGTAAAATGTAAACTTGTAAAATATTGTAAAATGTGAACTTGTAAAATATTGTAAAATGTAAACTTGTAAAATATTGTAAAATGTAAAAAATTGTAAAATATTTGTAAATGTAAAATATTGTAAAATGAAACTTGTAAAATATTGTAAAAAATATTGTAAATGTGAACTTAAAAATATTGTAAATGAACTTGTAAAATATTGTAAAATGTAAACTTGTAAAATATTGTAAAATGTAAAAAAATATTAAAATGTAAACTTGTAAAATATTGTAAAATGTAAACTTGTATTGTAAAATGTAAACTTGTAAAAAATTGTAAAAAATGTATTTGTAAAAAACTTGTAAAATATTGTAAATGTAAAATATTGTAAAATGTGAACTTGTAAATATTGTAAAATGTAAACTTGTAAAATATTGTAAAATGTAAACTTGTGTAAAATTAAAAAAAATATTGTAAAATGTAAACTTGTAAAATATTGTAAAATGTAAATGTAAACTTGTAAAAAATATTGTAAAATGAAAAAAATATTGTAAAATGTAAACTTGTAAAATATTGTAAAATATTGTAAAATATTGTAAACTTTGTAAAATATTGTAAAATGTAAACTTGTAAAATATTGTAAAATGTGAACTTGTAAAATATTGTAAAAAAACTTGTAAAATATTGTAAAATGTGAAATGTAAAAATGTAAAATATTGTAAAATGAACTTGTAAAATATTGTAAACTTGTAAAATATTGTAAAATGTAAACTTGTAAAATATTGTAAATGTAAACTTGTAAAATATTGTAAAATGTAAACTTGTAAAATATTGTGTAAACTTGTAAAATATTGTCCTCAAATTAAATTCCAACACAGCAGCAACAATTAAAATCGGTATCACATGCAAATCGAAGAGAAAATAACAACATAATTAAGATACTGACGTTCCATAATACTTCAAACAAACATTTAGTAAGAAAACCCACGTTAATATTGAAACAGACGATAATAATGGACTTGGGAAAACTATTTTCTTGATAATTTTTATTTCATTTCTTAAATGAGGAATTGTCAATATGCATCGAGTTATTAGCTTGAATCTAAATGTTGCTCCCATCTCTCTTATACGTGTTAAATACAGCGTTTCAACCAAATACTTTTTGACCATCTTCAGTCATTCGTTACTTTCAGTTATAGTGGGTTAGCCAATCTGTATACCTGAGAAAATACAAATTAAACTAACCCTCTACTATTTTTTACTAAAATCAAAAGCAACAAAGACAACAAATTGCCGCCTCATTATATTCGCTGGTAGAATTTTCCATTGTTTTTGTTTAAAATGTGAAAGTATTTCTCTTATAAAATGTTGTTTTTAAAATATTGCTTTGTACATTTGAACTTCGGGGTCACCAATTTGTAGTGGGTTAGCCAATCTGTATCGGTGACAAATACAAATTAAACTGACCCTCTACTATTTTTACTAAATCAAATGCAACAAAGACAACAACAAGAGAAATAATCAAATAGGCAGATATTTGTTTTAACAAAAAATATTTTTATATAACAAGTACACACGATATAATAAAGTTGTTTAAAACACTTTAGAGATCTTTGTTGTGTGATCAAGAGTAATATAAAAAGTGTTATGTTATAGATATTGTAAGGAATCAAACAGTTTATGTTGATGGTGAAATTGAATGAAATAGATTGCTTGACTTACTGTAGAGTTGTCTCGCTTCGACTGATATAGTTACGATTTCCTTTATGTTGTTAAGATATTGAGTGAGTTGCTTTCTGAATCTCGTCTTAGTTGGATTCGTCACGAGATGAGTTGATGTTGAAGAGAAATTGAATTCCACAAGCCGGGTTGATGTTAATAAGAATTAACTTTTAGCGAGGAAGTTGGGTTTCATGGATTCGTGTAACGAGTTGATTATTTTAAGGACTCACTGACTAAGTCGTTGTCGAAGTTTCATATTTATTAATTTTCTTGATCACGTAGGAGGCTCGAAAGAATGCTTATCAATTTTTGGCGCGTTGAACTCTGAACGGGTCAATTCTAGGTCAACTGTGCGGACGTAGGCAAAAATACGACATTATTATTTATGGACCAATCAGAAAGCATTGTTTCGTACTGAACTCTGGAGCCGATTTTAATGCGTGCAGCACAAACTGAGAATGCTTAGCTGCGATCCTCTTTTAACAGGTTTAAAACAGAGAAATCTAATTCTACACATATCATATGTGGGCTTACGGCCACATCACGTTGAAACACCGTTTCCCGTATTATCATCAAAGTTAAGCAACGTCGAGCTTGGTCAGTACCTAGATGGGTGAGCGGTTGGTAACACCAGGTGCTGTAAGCTTGTATGTGCTGGGGGTGTAATGGATAATGGCTCCGAATTGTTAATCGGAGAGCCGAGTTCCAATTCCAGTTGGCTTTGTTATATTCACTTATACGCAAATACTATTCTCTTCTCCCCCATTCTATGAGTTAATTAGTGTAGTTTAAATAAGTCTGTATTGCCGCAACGTCACTTGTACAAATCAAAATATAGCTGGTTCAATTCACCGTCCTCGCTTTCTGAACACGTCACTGCGTATCGCCATCATTTCTAACCTCGTTTTCGCTGCTCCAACACTCTTTTATCAAGCCAACACCGCGGTTTACCAACCAATCAGCGTTCTTCGCTGTTATTCTCGGTTACACAGAATAGTAAAAAAAAAAATCAAAATAGTTGTTATGGTCCAGGTTAGGACCAAGGAAGAACAACACAAACACAAGAGTAGAAATAACGAAGGTATATTACACGAAATAATAATACAAGATGTGGAAGGTGTTAGTATGACTGTCAGTCTGGTTTGGAGTGAACTACTATCGGCTCGATTCGATTCGTCCTTCTCTCTTGAGAGGCGTAGTATACATAGTGTTAGGAAGAGTTCATTCTGCAGTTATAGGTAAGGACCCATGACAACAGTGTGTTAAAAGGACCGTTATTCTCTTGACACCGCTATTACTGTATACACTTTTGACTCCCTTGTTAATTTTTTTTGTTTTAAAAAGCGACGAATTTTAATTAAACCCAAACATATGAAAGTGGATTTAATTGACAACAAATCAAACACTATTTACTTGTTTTATTCACAAGAATAATATTATATTTACAAGATTATAAAAATATGTGAAGCAACTATAATGAAATAAATATGAATATAATTTTTTTTATTCATATTTTTAAAAAAAATATTTGTGTGCAACAAAACTGAAATAAACATAACTAAGTTGTGCCGATCTATTACGCACATACATACATTCATATATACATACATAGAAAAATACAAATCATATACAACGCCAAGCATTCATTGGTTAATTAATCACCACTACGTTATTATAGACAATTTACAAATCGCAGCAATGACACAATTTTGTAATCGCTCTATTTTTATGTAGTCAGTTTTGTGCACTTTTGGGAGAAACGGATCACCAAAGCTCGCTCGCCGATTGGCCTATGCCAACCAATCAGATCGTCTGCACGTGAAGAATAATTCTTCCCGCGCAGCGATCTGGAGCCTATAGTCACTTAATTAAGCAAGAATTTTTCTTAGCTAATTAGTTAGAATTCAGCTGCCAAACGAATCCACGCCAGTTGAAACCACGCGCCAACCTTCTCACTCACACACACACCACTCACATGCTGAACATACCTTGTTTATACTCACATAATTTTTCTTACACAGCAATTCTTTCAAGAACTATTATTACAAGAAACTCTCATGAACATTCTTCCAGTGAACTTTGGAACACAAAAATAACAGTTAAAGAGAAAAAACTCTTGATTAATTCAATCTTTTCTTACTTAAATGCATGCATTTCTTTTACATGGTTGTTCGATATTGTACATCTTGTTAAATACATATTTTATGTGTAACAATGTCTTTTGTTTATCCTTTTCTGCATCAGGCCTGTTTCCTAATCTAAAGTTAAATTAATGTGGTGAAGTCCGCCACTAGTATAGGATACAAATCCTATATTCCAACAAATGACTAAAAAAACACAAAGTAGATTTGCACACCCGCAAAATCGGATCAAAACGACCAAAAACAGATTTCACAATAAGGTGTGAAAATTTTCTGACCAATGAAAGGAGTCGATTTGCTAAACTAAAAAAAAAGATAACGATCCAGTGTGAAAAAAAAGTCAACAATAAATACAGAGTTTTCAAGTCAGTCGCCAGTCAGTCAGTCGCTCAACTCTTGAGCGACTGTTCGGTTCAACTCTCTGTCTACGGACGGAGAGGAACCCGAAGGAGGCTACGCCGAAGGGCGGAGTCTCCTTCGGGGAGGTAAAACCGGCCCTGAACCCGTTTATACGGGTTCAAACGGGCATATTTTTGGGCTGAGCCCACGGGCTCGGGAAACCCACAATAAACAACCGACCTTGTGTCACATGTTGCCCCAGTGGGGGGGGGGGACTGAATATTGTCAGTCAGTCAGAGAAGGGCGCAAAGATCACAGAAGATTGGCAGTAAATTTCATCACCGATTCGTTATCTTTTTTTTGGTTTAGCAAATCGCCTCCTTTCATTGGTCAGAAAATTAATTTCACACCTTATTGTGAAATCTGTTTTTGGTCGTTCTGCTCCGATTTTGCGGGTGTGCAAATCTACTTTGTGTTTTTTTAGTCATTTGTTGGAATATAGGATTTGTATCCTATACTAGTAACTGGAATTATATATTTTGAAAAATCTTTTTGAATAAATTCACTAAAATAGGTCGAGTGCGTCTCTTTCTCTTGCATATTTCGATAATTTTATCAATTTTTAAATAAATCTTTGAATAAAAAGATTTCTTTTCAATTTCTTTATAAAATGGTAAATAATAAATCTTTATAAAAGGTAAATAATAAATATCGCGTTGTACTTGGTTCACATATTTTCATATTCTTGTAAATAAATATTGCTAAAGAGCATACAGTAATAGCGGTGTCAGGGGAATAAACGTCCTTTTGACATACAGTTTGTTTTGTTTTTTTCCGGACACGAAGGGCTAAACATTGTCTTAATCGAACCACAGTGTGAAGCAAAAGCTAACCAGTCGATGTAAAACTGATTGACTCGACTGTATGTTTGTAGGGGGCGGTCGATATACGTTGACTTATTGGGGTTAGACGACCTGTTCTCATTTCTGGTTGTTAGACATGACGTTTCGACCAAGTCGCCCCGAATCAGCTACTAAATTAACCAACTAATACACAGTTGATATATTAATATTATCAATAAAAACTTGATGGAATAGTCCATACATACCTTTCACCCCTCCGGAATAATACACTCTACCAGAAAATCACCTATTAACCAATCGACATCCTAGACTTTGCATTGGCTCAAACCTCTAAAACTGTAGCAAATTTAAGCGAAAATATCTTTTCTCGCCTAACGCTTGTGAGCCGATTTCTGCATCCAGAACTAAATAAATAGAAGCGTCCAAATCGATTCAAGGCAGTTGGAGTTTAATCCTGGAGAAATGCCAAACTAATCCACGCCAGTCAAAATCTTAACCAGCTACACTTTTCCCGCGCAAACTTCTCTGACTCAACAAACAGCATTTTGCTCTACCAGGAACAATTGCGTACGATACTATGGAAAGTGAAATAACGCACTAATAAGTAATCGTAAACATTCGATCAAACATCAAAACAACTAAAGGTACACAACTCATACCAGCTTTGGACGATAATTTAAACAAGCACACGCACTATTGACTGAACTGCCACAAAAGACTATTTTGTACACAACCAAACACTTAGTTTAATTTCACACACCAGTCTTAATAACAGTTTCACACACACACACTGAAACTTGGCATAAATAAACTTGTCGGAGTTATCTCCTCCTTAGCTCCATAACCCTTTCACCAGAGGTCTCTCTTCCCTGGCTATAAATACTCGCTGACCCTTCGCCTCGACCGTTTTTTCCTCAGGCTTTCAGCCTTATACCACCTCGCAGATGTGAGCTCTCACAGAGACAGCGTTTCCCAAATGCTGGGAACACGCTAAGCACAATACACGTACGTACGAACACTCACCACACACACACACACTCTGTCCATTGTAACTGTCCATGTAACTTATTATGTTATTAATATATATATATTTGTATACATATATTTATCGGTCTTGTGTTTGTTTTTTCTTTGCCTTCTTTGGACTTAATTAAAGTCCAACTTTCTCATGTAGTTAGACAGGCTAGCAGGGAAATATTAACCCACGTGTACTCATCTAATTTTACTCAACAACATCGCCGACACGTCCTCTACACACTACATAATTCAAATCAACCATTCACACTTGTTCAACAACCTTTGATTCAATTACGTATTTTTATTCTATATAAATCCATGTTATTGTTATACCTTTTACATATGTTGTTTTCACTCTGATTACTTTTGAATAATTTACCTTCAATATTCATGTTTCTTAATTTGTTGGGGATGAATGCCTAAGAACACCAACACCATTAACTGTATCACTAAAATAACCTCCTGATAACTCAAAATACATTCACCAGTCTGCAACAAACTGAACAAGCTTTACACATGTTTTGACACCAGTTAGTACTTTCACCGCTCCATTGGTGACAGGCTGTGTTGACCCGTTTCGGGATAAACAGGAAGCTGCCATTTACTGGAAAATAAATGATTATGTCGGAGTTAACTCCTCCTTTAGTTCGTTAACCCTTTCACCAGGGGTCTCTCTTCCCTGGTTATAAATAGTCGCCGACCCTTCGCCTCTTCCTCTCTTTTTCCTCAGGTTTTCAGCCTTACCACCTCGCAGATGTAAACGCTCACAGATACAGCGTTTCCCAAATGCTGGGAACACGCTAAGCACAATACACGTACGTACGAACACTCACCACACACACACACACTCTGTCCATTGTAACTGTCCATGTAACTTATTATGTTATTAATATATATATATTTGTATACATATATTTATCGGTCTTGTGTTTGTTTTTTCTTTGCCTTCTTTGGACTTAATTAAAGTCCGACTTTCTCATGTATTTGGACCGGCTAGCAGGAAAATCTTAACCCCACGTGTGTTCTTCTACGTCTACTCAACAACATCGCAGACACGGTCCACTACAATTATAAAGATGCTGACGAATTTTCACAAGGGCACTGCAATTTTGATTTCAGGTGGATAGTACGTGTGCTAGAAGCAGAAAAAAAAAACATGAGCAACATACCGTGCCCCACCTGAGTTTTAATTACAGTTTAATTTAGACGATGTCAATAGTAATTGCGACGAAAAGCGAAATTGAAAGTTAAACCTTTGATAAAGAATTGTTTTTTTTTTAAACC